GCTCGCGCCTTCATCGCGTCACAGCCCGCCAAACTGGGCATGGCTAGAGTGTATATTAGCGAGGTTCGAAGGCTGCATCCCTGATTTACATATCTTCAGCGAAGCTCTTCGCATCTGATACAGAAGCCGCGTCGCCGTCTGAGGGGCATTTTAGCGAGCTTGGACAGCGCTTGAAGAAGCCGGCCGTCTTCGCCACCTTCAGCCATCCGGCAAGCTACGCCATACGGTGACGTATCCTTTTTAGAGCTAAGCTAGTTCCTCAGGGAACTTCACAAAAGAGCACGAGCGTCTTTGTAAAGATGCCTTGCACCACCTGCGGCTCATGCCGCGCCCCTCTCAGCGCCGGAGACCGCCACCTCATCTGCGCTATCTGCCTGGGACTGGAGCACGCAGAGCTCGCTCTCGCTGATGGCGGATGCGACCTCTGCGAGGAGCTTCCGATGTCGACCCTGCGGGCTCGACTCGAAGCGTTCAGAACCGAAGCCGCAGCGCCGCCTTTCGTCTCGCCGCGCAAGAAAAAGTGCCGCTCCCAAAGGCCGCCGGAACCGGTGCTGGAAGCGACTGTCTCGCCGGAGCCTCTCCCTCGAGCCTCGCTTTCACAAATAAATTTGCCTTAGCCTACTTTTACTTACACAAAATGACAACGAAGTCCAAGTGGAATAAAATAACGCAGTGTTCGGCAATAAACTGCAAAAACTATCAGTGTGACAGTACAAAACTTGTCTTTCATAGTTTTCCCAAAGACCCTGACAGGTAAATTTGGCCTATAGTTGCATATATAGTATATGCACCTGCTAACTTTTAACTGTTTTTTAGTCTAGTAACGTTAGTAAACTTAATTCATTCAAGGAACTGCTAGTCCTAGACAGAAACCTTACCAGGGTCTCTATTGTGGAGCCCATCCCGGTCCAGCGGCACCACCAGGGTCTCTATTGTGGAGCCCATCCCGGTCCAGCGGCACCACCAGGGTCTCTATTGTGGAGCCCATCCCGGTCCAGCGGCACCACCAGAGTCTCTATTGTGGAGCCCATCCCGGTCCAGCGGCACCACCAGCGTCTCTATTGTGGAGCCCATCCCAGTCCAGCGGCACCACCAGGGTCTCTATCGTGGAGCCCATCCCGGTCCAGCGGCACCACCAGAGTCTCTATTGTGGAGCCCATCCCGGTCCAGCGGCACCACCAGAGTCTCTATTGTGGAGCCCATGCCGGTCCAGCGGCACCACCAGAGTCTCTATTGTTGAGCCCATCCCGGTCCAGCGGCACCACCAGAGTCTCTATTGTGGAGCCCATCCCAGTCCAGCGGCACCACCAGAGTCTCTATTGTGGAGCCCATCCCAGTCCAGCGGCACCACCAGAGTCTCTATTGTGGAGCCCATCCCGGTCCAGCGGCACCACCAGAGTCTCTATTGTGGAGCCCATCCCAGTCCAGCGGCACCACCAGAGTCTCTATTGTGGAGCCCATCCCGGTCCAGCTGCACCACCAGAGTCTCTACTGTGGAGCCCATCCCGGTCCAGCGGCACCACCAGGGTCTCTATTGTGGAGCCCATCCCGGTCCAGCGGCACCACCAGGGTCTCTATTGTGGAGCCCATCCCGGTCCAGCGGCACCACCAGAGTCTCTATTGTGGAGCCCATCCCAGTCCAGCGGCACCACCAGAGTCTCTATTGTGGAGCCCATCCCGGTCCAGCTGCACCACCAGAGTCTCTATTGTGGAGCCCATCCCGGTCCAGCGGCACCAACAGGGTCTCTATTGTGAAGCCCATCCGGTCCAGCGGCACCACCAGAGTCTCTATTGTGGAGCCCATCCCGGTCCAGCGGCACCACCAGGGTCTCTATTGTGGAGCCCATCCCGGTCCAGCGGCACCAACAGGGTCTCTATTGTGAAGCCCATCCGGTCCAGCGGCACCACCAGAGTCTCTATTGTGGAGCCCATCCCGGTCCAGCGGCACCACCAGCGTCTCTATTGTGGAGCCCATCCTGGTCCAGCGGCACCACCAGGGTCTCTATTGTGGAGCCCATCCCGGTCGAGCGGCACCACCAGGGTCTCTATTGTGGAGCCCATCCCGGTCCAGCGGCACCACCAGAGTCTCTATTGTGGAGCCCATCCCAGTCCAGCGGCACCACCAGGGTCTCTATTGTGGAGCCCATCCCGGTCGAGCGGCACCACCAGGGTCTCTATTGTGGAGCCCATCCCGGTCCAGCGGCACCACCAGGGTCTCTATTGTGGAGCCCATCCCGGTCGAGCGGCACCACCAGGGTCTCTATTGTGGAGCCCATCCCGGTCCAGCGGCACCACCAGGGTCTCTATTGTGGAGCCCATCCCGGTCCAGCTGCACCACCAGAGTCTCTATTGTGGAGCCCATCCCGGTCCAGCGGCACCACCAGAGTCTCTATTGTGAAGCCCATCCCAGTCCAGCGGCACCACCCGGGTCTCTATTGTGGAGCCCATCCCAGTCCAGCGGCACCACCAGAGTCTTCCTGCTCCGCTCAATAAAAGTCTACATCATTTGTTCTTATTTTATGTACTGTACATTTAAATGTTTATGTTGATATGTTTAACGTATGTTGGAAAAAGTACTTTTCTGTAGCCTAAAAACAAATTATTTTCATTTACCAATTTTAAAAAATAAAAAAAAGGTATAGAACAATTTGTTTCATGTAGAAATTATGAGTCATTACAAAAATAAACAATGTCCAGAACAATTAATTCTCTTTTATTTACAAATTTAAAGTGGCATAAAAATAAATATTGTACAGAATTTCTCTTTTCTTTTAAAAAAATAAAAGTGCAAAAAAAAAAGTAAAACAAGAAAATGTAGAAAATGTTGTATATTTTTCAAACATTCTCTCAAGAAGAGAAAACAGACTGTCCCTCCTCTCCCTACTCTGCCTCCCTCTATAGTTGCATTGCTTCTCTGATCAAGCCCAAAAACTCGTCCTCTGTCCCGCCGCCTTCGTGCTGCTGCTGCTCCTCCTCACCTCTTCCATGAGGACAAACCAGGGCCAAGTTTCAGCAGTGGGTTTCCCACTCACACCCTCACCTGTGCCAGGACACTTGCAATCCTAAAGGCAGAGCAAATTTACCATGGCTTGTTAAACACAACAGCACAATACATTTCAGCAAAGATGCGTGTATTAACTCTATTACTTTGTATTGTTTTTTTTGCCTGTATGGGAGTTACTCTCCCCAGCAGACCCATTTACTCCAGAATTGCTCTAAAAAAGCAGAAAAGGGTACTTATGAAAAATATTAACACAGGGGTGCAATCTTAACATAAGTGCATTGATAATAGGGGTGGGAATCTTTTACCATCTCACGATTCAATTCGATTCCGATTCTTGAGGCCACGATTCGATTCAAAATCGATTTTCGATTCAAAAAGATTTTCGATTCCAAACGATTCGATTTTATCCATAATGATTTATAATCGGGTTTCTGATCATGATCTACTCTCATCTGCTTTGTTATACAGAATGACAAACGGAGACATTAAAGTGTCTTTTTCACATTTATTAAGTTCAATTCTCAGGGAAGTGCCTTTTATCAAAAACATTGTCTGGTTCTCAATTGCTACTGTTGCAGGTCCCGGCACAGGAGACCCAGCTGACAGATTACTGTTATCTGTAAAACAGGATTCAATGAAAAGAGAGAGAGAGAGTCGCGTCTGCTCTTTCACAGCTCCTCTGCAGATATATTTATTTAATGCACAATAAATCAAGCACAACAGTTGCTTTTAAAGCATTAATCCACATTCTTCTGTCTGTCTTATTACATCACTTTTGTCACCAACACCAAAATAAATCACCTTTTGTCTCATTTCTTCACTTTACCATTTTTAGTTAACATTTAACATATAAATATTATATTTTATAATTAGACATACCAATATTCTTTAGCACAATGAGATTAAGTATGAACTTAATGCATATGAACTCTGAAAATGTGTATTCCAAAAGGTACTTGCTCCTTAAAACCATTGTGAAACATTTCACTTTTGTTCCTACGTTTCTATCAGTGCCCGATCACGTGACCGGCAAGCGCGCCAAACGCGATCACAGAGAGAGCTTCAAAGACACACTAAACTCGACATATTAACTAATTAACACAAGCTAACAAACTTTTCATGACACACAAACTATTAATACAACAGTATAGCTAAATATAATGACCACTGGAGCGAACTAATCTCATTTTCCTCACGTTGAAGTGAGCATACAACAAGACAAACAAAACGTCATCAACTAAAACACATTTAACCCTTTACATTCACTAAACAGTAATAATAGTGCAATCGCTGAGGTATAGTTACACAATACTCTTTTGAATGTTCATGTTTTTACCTGTAAAACAGGATTCAATGAAAAGAGAGAGAGAGAGTCGCGTCTGCTCTTTCACAGCTCCTCTGCAGATATGAGGGAGCATGCGCAGTTCACGGTTTCGCCCGCGACTCTCCAGCCAGAATGTCAAAATAAGAGTCCTTTATTTTTGTCCATATAAATGTAAATATAAGTTTGTTAATTTGCATACAACATAAGCCAATAATGTAATCTGTTTACTCATAACAATATACAATACATATTCAATAGAAGGGGAAAAAACACAAGTGTGTACATACTTTGTGTGTATCACACTACTCATTAGTAGCAAGCTATAAAATAAGTTGGAACAAAAATAAAGTGCTTCTTCATAATACAAAATGGTTGAAAATAGATGCATTTCCCAGGAAAGTTGCAGTTTACCAGTACACAAATATCATGTAGAACACAACCGGTGAAGACAAAAAAAACATCTATATTTCTCAGTCAGACTCAGTAACTTAAAGAATAACAAGTTATGCAAATAAAATGCTTCTTTCAAAATGAAAAATAGTACCCCTAAGCTACCTGTCTCTGAAATATTCATGACAGTGTCTCTTGCAACAATAGAACTGTAAACTGTGCAACTGATTATATGATTTTCAACAAATCATGAAAAAAACTGGACATGAACTGTGTCCAAGGTTACTGTCCATTTGCAGATGCAACATTCAGGTTCTTTTGCAGGAAAATAAGCTGATCAACATGTGCAGGAGTGAGACTGCTTCGCTGTGCTGTTACTATATCTCCAGCGGTGGAGAAAACTCTCTCAGCTGCAACGCTAGTGCCAGGGATACACAAGTATCGCTTACCCAGTCCAGCTAAGAGAGGAAAAGCTGTCTGATGGGTCCTCCACCAGCTGAGCGGGTTTTCTGACAGAGACAGGGGAGGGGCTTCAAGATACTTCTTCAGTTCCTCTTCAGCTCTGGAGCTGGCAGATCTACGGACAACACTGACCTCAGTAAATGTCTTGCCCAATAGCGTGACCAGTGCAGAGGGCCTTTTTTTTGGAGCAGGGCCTTCTTCTTGCTGTGGTGTCTCAGACTCAACCTCAGCCTCTTCTGAGTTCACTTGTCTCTACAGAAACAATTCAACAATCATGTCAGTCATAATCAATTATGTACAAAATAGTCACACAAGTCCCATATTTTATGTTTAACTAAAATTAAAAAGGCATATATAAATTTAAAACCTGCAAGATGAGATGGCATTATTTAACTTTGATCTACATACATTTTCAGCAAGCATAAATGCCTTAACCCTTTGATGCGCAAGCTATGGATACCCCCTCTAATGCACAACATGGGTCTAAAAAGACCCGTATTCATTTCCTATGTTATTTCATGCATGGCTCGGCATTTTTTTGTTCCACCTTTTGAAATCACTTTATTTGAGCATTTTCTATTTCATGATCTATAAATTTCATGATTTATGAATATTCAAAATATCTTGTTTTCAATTATCACAAATTCATATTTTAATATTTCCTAGGTTTTGTGTAAATACATCAAGTTTACACACATGGGTCTAAAATGACCCATCTATGCAAACGTGATAAAACAAAAGAATAAAGAAAACTTTTTGTTAAAACAAACATTGTCACAGTTGTTTAGATCAACACATTTACTGTAACACTTGAAATATGTTTATTGGCCACTTTGTCACGCATAACACACATATAACTGATAACACTGAAATTGAACTGTAGTGTAGTGCAACTGTAGGGGGGATCTCCCCGCCACCAATGTGCAGCATCCACCCGGATGATGCGACAGCAGCCATAGTGCACCAGAACGCCACCACACGACAGCTTATGTGACCGATAGCATTGATTTATGACCACAAATAAAAATTAATATGGAGGTACTGCCCAGGTAAGGTTTCTGCCCAACAGCACCAATATAATACTTGTATATATAACTTTCTATCGCAACTTTTATTTTGTTGACCTAGCTAACATTAGATAAAATAAAATATGTCGACCGCAAGCTAGCTAATAGTATTGGACATGTTTCTCTTTTGCACTAGTAATGGATTTCAAGGTCAAGGTAACCTTAGCCTAAACGTTCAAATTTTAGGCTATATCTAGATGTCTTTCACAAAATATCAAATATTTTCTGTGACAAAAAATGTATTAAATAAAACTTACATGCATGAAATATACAAAAGCAGCCGTGTCGAATTTTGAAATGTGTGGCAGGTGAATAGTTTTCTGCAGTAAATATATTTATACTATTTATAAATATCAAAGGTTCCTATATGGGTCATTTTTGACCCATGTGTGTAAAATTGATGTAGAAATACAAAAACCGTGTTTGTTTATAAAGTAAGAAAGGGAAAATAAAAATAATGATTTGTGGAAATCAAAAACAAGATATTTAATGAATACCTGGATTAATAAATGATAAAATATATTTATTTCAAATATTCAGCAAAGAAACATGAATACGGGTCTTTTTAGACCCATGTTGCGCATTAGAAGGGTAGTGAAACAAAAACGATTTTTATTCGAAAAGTAAGAAAGGAAAAATTTAAATAAGGATTTGTAATGATCTAAAACAAGTTAATTGAGGAATACCTGGAATACTGAATGATGAAATTAATTTCTTGCAAAGATATAGAAAATGAAAACTCAGTCGGGTCTATTTAGACCCATGTTGTGCATCAAAGGGTTAAGGTGATGATACACAGGACAACTTTTTGAGCAATGTTGCTTGGCAATCTTGCCGAGCGATTGTTGCTTGGGCACTTTCCAATTGAAAATGGGCAATACATTTCTATCTGGATAATTTAGATCGGTCGTGGGCCCTGTGTCTCATCTGGTTGCCCATTGACGGCAACATTGCCCAGTAACATTGCTCAAAAAGTTGCCCTGTGTATCATCACCTTTACACATTTTAGAAAATAATATATTACTCAAGAACAGATAATAAATTTACCTCGAGTGCTGCAGCCTCTGCAACTACATTGGCATGGATTTCCAGATGGTCCTCCTCAGTGAGGAAAGGCAGGGCCTTGAATCTGGGGTCCAAAAAGGAAGCAGAGTACAGCATGCGCTTATCCCGTGCAGAACTGTATCTTTTCGCCAGATCATTGTGGATTGCCAGTTTGATTTCCCGAATAACTGGTGTGTCAGCAGCAGCAGCAACGCCAGCTGCCTCCGTGTCGTGCAGCAATTGAACATGCAAAGGAGCAATAACAGAGTGTAGGCATAGAATCCTCTGACATTATGTGGGTTGCGTCTTTCATTGGTTTCAGCACCGCTGCTATTTCCTCAGCAGTGGAGATGTCGGTGTCGCTGAGTGTGCAGATGTCACTTCCAGATTTTCTCACCTGGGGGGAGAGCAGCGCGGCACAAATAGCAGGCTGCTGCTCTAGGAATCGTTCGATCATGTCCAGCGCGCTGTTCCAGCGTGTAGCGACATCCGTTTTCAGTTTGAGCACCGGTAACTGCAGAAGTTTCTGCTTTTCCAGGAGTTCATGATTTGCAATGGCGCTGCGGTGGAAGAAACCAGTAATTCGCCTGATCCTCCCAAGCAGTCGTGACACCGTGGTGAGCTTCAGAGCTCGTTGTGCAGCCAGGTTGAGAGTATGGGCAAAACATGTAATGTGTGCCAAGTTGTCAATCTGTGCAGCGGCGAGCCTGTTGGCAGCATTATCAGTCACAATCACCAGATCCGAGACCGTCAGCTCCCATTCATTAGCAACGGAGTGAAACATGGCATTGACATTTACAGCTGTATGGCTCTCGTGCATCACGCGAGTTTGCAAAACACGGGATTCGAGCACCCACGTATCAGTTATGTAGTGAGCGGTGAATGTCACAAAAGACTTGGTTGCTCTTGATGTCCATGCATCACATGTTAATGCTACTCTGGTCGTTTTGGTTAGGGCACTGGCGACCATTCTTTTAGTCTCATTGTAAAGCTGTGGCACAGCGGTCTCAGTGAAAAACTTGCGGGACGGTATGGCGTACCTCGGCTCCGCAGTCTGTAACATCCAGACGAACCCCTCGTTCTCAACCACACTGTAAGGCCTTAGGTCTTTGGCGATGAAGCAGGCGATAGACCGAGTTATTATTTTTGCCCTCTCGGAGTTGGCAGGGAGTTTCGTGAAGCACTGCAGTGTGCGTTGGTCTGCAGCTGGCGGCTGACTCTGCTCCGTGTCGCTGAGCTCCGGGTGATGCCTAGTAATATGAGCCCGCGCATTTGTTGTGCTGCCGAAGTGCTTGGTCTTCGTTTTGCAAAGCTTGCACACTGTGTGTGTCATGTCCAGCACAGTGCTTCCAGGCATTCGGTAAAAACCGAAATGACGCCAAATTTTAGCTTTAAGTGAAGACGGGGCTGGTTGGATCTCCCTCTCATCCATATTTGCTTCCTCTTTGTTTTAGTGATTTGCCGCTCACGTTCAAAAACCGGCTGCGTGGTGACGTCCGTATAGGCTAGTTACAAAAATGGAGGCGAACAGCCAGCTGATTTTATTTATTTATTAAATCGATTCTTGGACATTTCAGATCGATTCTGAATCGTTGCAAATGAGAATCTAGATTCTTCTGTGAATCGATTTTTTGGCACACCCCTAATTGATAACACTGCAAAATATGACACATTAGGACATGCATACAAAATACTTCAGAAATCATATTTCTGGATACTCAAATTTGGTTAAAACCTTTGTAGACATAACGTTAGCTTGCACGACAGCACTACAAAAACACATAAAAGTGAAACCCCATTGCCCCATCTACTGCTTTTCTTATTGTTGTGGGCTTTATATGGTGAGTGATAATTCTTATAATACACAAGTGATAGACTAGTGCAAATATTACAAATAGGTCATTAAACTAATATTAGCACAAGTTTTGCCTCAAACCACCTGACAAATAAAGCCACGCAATGGTGACGGAGTTAAGATGAAGTTTATAAGAAAGAAACTCTTTTAACTGTGGTTTCACTAGCTATTTGAGTAAATGAAAACATAATAGCCTACATTTAAATGTGAATTTTCCATTCACTACCGAACTCTTGGCCGCCTTTTAAAAAAAAATAAAAATGCAGTCGCCACCGGCACGTAACAACTTATGGGGTAGCATAAGCCGCTAAGGATCCTTTTCTGTATCCTTCCTTTCACAGGGAAACAAAGGGTGCTTTTGAATCAGGGTAGCCTTCGTCGCGCCGCGGTGACGCAATCGGCCTTCAAATGCGACCTTCGGAGGAAGCAGCCTTCACATTGGGAGGATTTTTTCAAAGCCTGGAGAAATTATCTGTTTTAAAAAAAGTAGGCTAAGGCCCCATCCACACTACTGCGTTTTAGTTTAGAAATGGATAATTAAAACGAATACGATCTCTGTCCACACCAGCGTTTTAGCTGCATATTAGAATTGATCTCCGTCCACATTAAAACAACTGAAAACGCGCATCACGTGACCTTTCACCAACACTGGGCATGCGCGCGCCGGTGTAAACACAACTTCATTGATAAAATGATCCCACCATGCTCTGGGTTACCCCCAAACCGACGCTCCATGTACGGTCAACGCCGCCGCTGCACACGGGAATTGTCACAGATCGCTCGAATAATAGCTTGACTCCGGCGCATGTAGGCAGTTATAGCGTTGTAAAATGCAGAATTTACTTGTACAACAGCGGCTAGCAAAGATATACGCCATGACTGATGACACCCAATCATAGAGCCGAGCGTGAGCCTCTACTACGTCATCGTTTCTAAAGTCCTCTGTTTTGTCCCGTCTACACTAAAACGCCCTCCGGAGATTCAAAACGAAAAAAGGATCGGCAGCGTTTCTAAACTTCTCCGTTTTGGGTCTCCGTTTTTGCCGTTTTAGTGTGGACGGGAGGTGCAAACGTAGCAAAAGGTCTCCGTTTTTAAATGAAAACGTAGTAGTGTGGACGGGGCCTAAATGTTTCCAAAGAAGAGAAATTACTTTTTTAATAAGATTCTCTAAAAAAGTGAGACATTGTGGCCTGATTTCTTTTATTAATATTCATTTTTCAGGACCAAAATAACATTCTGCACGGTGAAGAGCCTACAGGTTACAAGCTTCACATATTAGAAAAATAGCTACAATAAAAAAAAAAAAAACATTTTCTAATGTCTCGTTGTCAAGGATGTTTCAGATGAACACCTGAGAGTAGTGATGTGTCCTCCCGTATCGAGGCTTCGAAGCGTGTGTCGAGTAATCCGGGATGATTTCTGTGAAGCGCGTATCGAGGCTTGTGTCGGTGACGTATGTGGTGACGTTTGAAGCCTCGCGAGCCGCCTGTGCCACGTGACTGCTTCAGGAAGTGGTTCGCGGTTTGGCGGTCTATTTGAAATATAAGGGCCAGCAAAATGCAATGGATTCCCCCTCACATTTTGTGGACTTGGGACTTTGCGAGTTTGTTAGCGATCTATTCAAGCTTATTTTTCTTCATTCAATTCATTCAATGCTTCAGACACCAAAGCCATAGTGTCATTATAATCACACTGCACGTTTTACATTTATTGTCCACTTGATGGCACAATAGAGCAAATGAAGCACCATGAAGCTTCGGCACATGAGTGAACCAATTGGATGAAACGCTTCAAGGCTTTATGAAGCTTCATCTCGCCATCACTACCTGAGAGTGTTGAGACGGGTGTCGGATTGTTTCGAAGCCTTGACACAATATGGCACATTTGGTTCAACTGTTTCATTGCTTCATGAAGCCTCGATCTGCCCACCACTAGTTGGGTTTACTGGAGTTCAAGGACATGAAAAGGTGAAGATTAGAACCGAACTTCAGTGGGAAACAACAGGAGTATAAAAAACTGATGAGTTGATTGCCTCTTTGGATACTGATACGTCATTAAACCCAGATGCCTAGTAGCCTAGAGCTGAGGAAAAGAAACCCCGAGTGAAAGACAACAAGCCCAGAGTTGACCACTCCTTTGACTCAAAGCGTGATTATCTGCTGTGTATACATACATAGGCTACACCTCTTACCTCGTTGATTGGGTTGATTAACTGAATGTGCTCCACTCGTGTTTAATTAGGTTTGATTATCTTAATTATATTAATGTGCTCCTCCCGACCTTTGTTAATAAAACAATTTCTTAATATGCCAAATAGGGTAGGGGTTGATCTTTGAGAACTATGATTGGATGGAATGGACATCCTGGTTAATGAATCTTGTGTATAAATATGAGGCTTCTTCCATTTGCTATTATATTGTCTCAGCTTTATCATTTTCTGCAGATAGTCTAGCTAAAAATTTATATAACTCAGTATTCAGGCCAGTGCTGTAGCAATGCATTACTTCTTTTCCATGTTGTTTTCACTGCTAGCCATTATTGGGCCTGTGAGCGTTCAGTCCGCAGGAAGACGTGCTAAGCGGAGCAGCGACCGATCTTACAGATCTGTGCTGAAGGTGTCGAATGGAGGGCCGTGGGGATCGTGGGGGGTTATTAGCATGTGTCCAAGCGGAACGTACGTAGACGCGTTTAGTCTGAAGGTAAGTTGGGCACTGACTTTATTTAGCTAATATGGGGTGGAAGAGCGCTTCAAAGGTCAAACTCTGGAGTTGCTGTTTGTCGTTTAATTCCAGGTTTCCAAAGTGTCTGTGTAATACTAAAGAGCATGAAGATAAATGTTAAGTGTTGGGTTAGTTTACTCTTTCAAATGGAAGATTGTCTTGTTCTTTTAAGGTGGAAGGCAAACTTATTTTTGGTGGTGATGATACAGCGCTCAATGGGATTCGTCTTTACTGTGTCGATCGGCCAGGCGCAGACGAATACACCGCAATTACGTCTGACGTAGGAGGGTAATGGATTATTAAGATTTTTTCATTAAGTGTTTAAGCTATTTAAGTAAATTGAGGATTTTCTTGAATGATTATTGATTTGATCAGGCAACCTCTTTGTTTTCTTTAGCTGGGGCGAGTGGACAGATAAGAAATCGTGTCCTGTTGGATTCTTCACCGCTTTCCAGCTGAAAGTTGAAACTCCCCGAGGATCTGGAGATGATACGGCCGCAAACAGCATCGAGTGTGTGGTGCTATAAGTTATAACATCTCTTACTCGGTGTATACCTCTTACACCATCTCTTACCCATCCTGGGTTTATTTAGCTATTTAATGACTCTCAGCCCAGTGTCATGAAACTGCGTATCTATACCACGAGTTTAATTTCTCATGCCATTTATACACTAAAAATAGTTTTCGCGTGCATATGACACGCACTTTATGGCGAGTAATACGCACGCACTCCACACCCTAATTCTACCCAAGGGGTTTACAGTGCTTAGCATATGCACGCAAAACCCATTATTGGTGTATAAATGGTATGAGAAATTAAATTTGTGGTATAGATGCGCACTTTTATGAGATTGTGTTAGGACTCTAGTTTTCCCCTATCAATAGTTTAGTTAATATCACTCTCGCAGTCGTGCTGCTGTTCGAGATTGCAGTGATTAGGCCGTCGGCTGCAGGAGATCATGTGACTGACATTCAATCCAACAGCACAATTACATCTTTATCATTGTCACATCTGAATTTTTTCCAGTTTCAAATGCAGTGATTGGGTGATCTGGGGTAAAGGTCTAAACTGGGGTGATTGGGGCGACTGGAGTGCAACGTGTGAAGGAAAAGGAATCTGCGGCTTACAGACCCGGGTAGAAGAGTCACAGGGAAGCGAAGGAGACGACACCGCTCTCAATGACGTGATCATGTTCTGCTGTGATTAAGGTGATGTGATCGCAATCAAAAACTGACACACACACTGCAGATCAACTAAATCTGATTTTTCTTTCAGGTGTAAGAGGATGACAAGAAGAACAGCAAGAAGATCCTATGAAAAACTAACAAACCATGTCATACAACAGTTTTGTAATGAAAAGTCAGCCGGTCATTTTCACATAACATAAAGCCTAACTGGATGATCGGGGCATTTGCTCCCCGCTTTTGAAGTTGAAATTATCGTATTCTTTCGTAGGTTAGTGATTCTTCTGAAGACTCCTGAACTTCTACTGAAACTGTTGTCAAATATCAGCAATAAAGACTTTCTAAACAGAACCTTGTAGTTTTACATTGTTTTGCACAACACTTTACATCAGATCGTTCATTACATTAGTGCATGTGGCAGATGGTCTAAAGTGACTTATATTGCATTCAAAGTAATTGTCTAATCCATTAATTCCCTGAGAATGACTAGCGTTATCTACATTAAAGTGTATTATTGTCAAGTTCCATAAACTTTTTGCCTTTCTAAAGCTATAAATGTTTAGCTAAAATGTCACAATGCATATTCAGAAAATGATT